GAGGGGGGTTCATTGCCTCTTGACCGGGAGGAACTAGAATCATATATTTCTCAAATAGAGCCTATTGATATGCATGATGAGGGTACTTCTGATATAAGTGCCTCTGAGCTTGTAATTCCTTGTGAAAATGGGGGAAAGGGTGCTGCAAAGCCTTTGGAAGGTTTGATAGTTGATAAAGGATGTACTACAGCTGTGGCCTCTTTGCCATGTAGGAATAGGAAAAACGAGACGAATGTAAAATCTTCAATAAAGATAGCTTCAGATCAAATTAAGAATATCAACAAAAGTTATTTTAACTCGTATGGATCTTTCGGCATTCATAGAGAGATGATTAGTGACAAGGTACTGCCGCTGTTAAAGTTTGAATTGTGGTCTTGATATGTAAGCATGCACATTCTTAGTTCCTGATGATTCATGTCAAATATGCAGGTGAGAACAGAGGCCTACAGACAAGCTATTCTTGAAAATCCTTCTCTTATGAGAAATGCAGTTGTTATGGATGTTGGTTGTGGGACTGGCATTTTAAGGTGCAATAGTACTCTTCATTATGTATGAATTCATTCGATATCATCGATGATGCAAATCTCAGTATAGATTATAACTTTTACTGTTTTTTTGCAAGGCAAAACTCCCCATGTTTTTTCTTTTAGTATAATAACTAAATGCATCCATTAATATGTCAAGATGAAGTGATTATGGTGACTTTTTGTTGCTGAGATCCCCCCCCTCTCGTTTGCTAGCCTATTTGCAGCCCAAGCAGGAGCTTCAAGGGTTATCGCAATCGAAGCCAGCGACAAGATGGCTGCAGTGGCTACCCAGGTTAACTTTAGTCTGATCAAATATTAAACTATATATCTGTATGCCTTTGTAGTTGGATCTTTCTGATTGATAAAAAAAGTTCAAGTTCGTGCAGATTGCAAAAGACAATGGCCTTCTGCGAAACGAAATAAGCAGTGAAAGCAATCAACAAAATTGTGTTATTGAAGTGGTTCAAGGCATGGTTGAAGAACTAGAAAATGCTGAACAAATCAGTCCTCAGAGTGTGGACGTGTTATTCAGCGAGTGGATGGGTTATTGCCTTCTTTACGAATCAATGCTAACATCTGTACTCTTTGCACGGGATAAGTGGTTGAAACCTGGAGGCGCCATTCTGCCGGACACAGCTACTATGGTACAGAGATACTTATTACTTAAATATTTGATCTTTTGTTTTGGGCTATTTAATTTCATCCTTCTATTTTACATTATAATATATGGTTTTTCTCGTATTTGTACGTAGTTTGTAGCTGGATTTGGAAGAGGGGCTTCCAGTATAAAATTCTGGGAGAACGTGTATGGTTTTAATATGTCATGTATTGGTCGGGAGATTGCCGAGGATGCTGCTCGGTTTCCCATTGTTGATGTGATTGACAGTTGCAATATTGTCACTACCACTGAAGTTCTTCAGGTTTGTGTCTGGTACTGTGCTTTTCGATTTCTGTGAAGAGAACCCATTATACTTCTTGTCATACTAAATTCAAATGTTTGTTTCTGT